AAAAAGACATAGTATTTTTCTTCCCAGTATAATATCATGCTTCATGTTCTTACACTGATGTCTTTAGTTAACACCAGAAGCTCTTCTGGTGTTTGCCATGTAAGAAGGCAGCCCATAAAATGATACAAGTTTCTGTAGTCACCGCTAAAGACTTAAACACTTCATTCCTCTGCCACTTGAAGTAAATCTAGCCTGAGATTTTTGTTCCACAATGATTCTCATGGGCTCCAAACTCAGTGCTTACTATACTAACAATAACCCTTCATGTCTCCAGACTCTACCCATGTTTGTTGTTAATCTTCAGTCACAAAGTAATAAGATGCATCACACATCATCAAGCTGGCCTAAGGGGTTACAAATTTGGATGAGGGCCACATACTGTACTAATTGCTTCTAATAAATGACATATTTCAGGAGGGACATCATGATTTTAATCATTTATTCTGCATGTTGTTTCCTTTGGAGAGAAGAACAAGCAGGCACTAAACAAGCTGAGCATCTGAAATTCATGGCAGAAGCTAGAAAGAACTCATTTAGTATCAACCATCATTGTAAATACTAGAATTATGCATGTATCAAATCCCTGGGTCTGAACACTTTGGGAACAGCCAGTGAGTTCTGGCTGCTTTAATGACTCAAACCAAAATGATGTCTTTGAATGTTCCTTAGATTTATAACAAATCAGATTTAATCCCATTTCAAATCTTGTAACTGGGGCCTAACTCAAGAAAAAGTCTTTGTTTCTATGCAAAGAAAAATACATTAAGAGGGGAATTTAAAACATGTATTTCCCAAAAGGCTGAGAGGGAAAACAGTCAAACATACATTTCACTTCTGTGGGGAAAGACTTTAATTATGATTTGATAGCTGTTCATCACAAAGGTGGCCAGTGAACACAGACAGTGAAAAGAACTTTCTTTAAAGCCTCTTGAAATTAGTAGGACCTCGATCTGGTCTAAACAGCCTCTCGCAGGGTGAACTAAGATGAGTGAAGGTTTCCTATTTCCCTGACCTCTAGCACATCCACACCAGTAGACTTGCTGTTAATGAAATCCTCAAACCTCTTGGGAATGTGCATTTCCTTCACAGGGGGAGACCTTGATAGTACTTAAATAGCCACCAGTATTAATAGCAATAGCTGGGAGATAATGTGGAGACTTGGGAACTCTAGGGAGTAATGCAGGTTTGGGAACAGCTCAAGCTGTCTTCCATTTGTCTTTGTAAACCTTTCTTCCTGTCACCGCTGTCTGCATTTCCTTCCAAGGATGAGCTGAGATACCAAACAAAACATGACTACCTAGGTAAAAGGAAACCTGCCTAGGCACAGTGTATGTCTTGGGGTGGAAAGCTGCAGTTGCAGCTCTGAGACTCAAATGTGCTCTTAACTTTCAAGTGGTAATAAGACATCAAGGAAGCACCATTACCTAAGATAAGTGTAATCTGTTTCCGCCTTGGCAGTCTAAGCTGCCTTCCTTTGGTTCCTCTCTACCTGTGAGGTTTATCATCCCACCATAGACTTCTCTGGCAATTGTGAGGGGAAAAGAGTGAGGTTCCAGCAAGACTTCCAGGGGCTACTCTAACACACCAAGCAGAATAGTGAAGATATCTCTAAAGATGCTGTTTGTGCATGGATGGATGGATGGATATTTGTGCTAAAACAGTTGGGCATCTACTTTGGTACAGAAGAAAAGGACCAAAGGGTTCTTGATTTTGTCATACAGAACAAGAAGCAGATTAGTAAAGAGGAGGAAAAGGCCTTACACAATGAGAATTGACTGGGAAAGACTGCCCCAGGTAAAACTGGTGACTATTCAAATTGAGAAACATTTCTCTGATTGCTTTTATGGTTTTTTTCATAGGGAGGTTCAAGCCAACCTCTGCACATGAAGACTGAGAGTTTAAAGCATGAGAGAACTGGAAGTTCAGGCATAAAAGCCTGAGTAACAGAAGTAAAAAGTGACATAAACAAGGGAGATAGAATTGATGAATCCTCAGTTAAGAGTGCTGCTATACCTAGAAAAAACTGTCACGGTGTAAATCACAACATACAGAAAATATGATGGATTAGTTTGGTGCAGTCTTCAGATACTGACCTGTGCCAACATTGTGTGCTACATAAGAACATGGAATTAACAAACACTAGTGTGGCAGGTTAGAAGAAGGAATATCTATGAAAGCAAAATGGAAAACCTCTTTGACATCCATTAGGTTTGGTAATATAATACTAAGAAGCACACCATACTGAGCTGTTATCTGGTTGGCTGGCTCAGTCCCTGTCCAGATTACCACTTAAATCAATAGCTCTCACATTGATTTTTCCAGCACACTGTATTCCAGTAAAAAGAACAATGCTCTGAGATGAGTCAGCTATTTATTCTTTCTGTAGGAACTCTGGTTCATTTTCATTTAGGAAAATAAAAGCAGGAGCCAAAGCACACACAGATATCTAGTAATAAGAACCTGCCTGTTGCACCATAACATGACACAGGCTCTGCAGATATGCAGGTTTGCTACAACTTGCTGCAGCAGCCACAGCCCGGCCTTGAGCTAGAGCAAGCTGCTGTAACAATGGGACTGAAATATTTGGAGATTATCCTAAACAGACCATAACACTGAATTTTAGTTTAGTAACTGCAATGGCAGAGGAGAAAAATATGCCCATATATATATCTATATCTATCTATATATATCATATACATATCTATACATATCTACATCTCGTAGAATCACAGCATCATAGAATGGTTTGGGTTGTAAGGGACACTAAAGATCATCTCATTCCAACCCCCCTGCCATGGACAGGGATGCCACCCACCAGATCAGGTTGCTTAAAGCCCCAGCTAACCTGGCCTTTGATAATTCCAGGGATAGGGCATTCACAACTTCTCTGGGCAATATGAACCCCTTCTCTGGGCAATTTAACTAAGAAGCTGATCTCCACATTTTTACCATGACAGGTAGAACCTCAGCAGTAATGTATTTCTATTTATTGCATATATTTTCATGTATTTGCATGTTCCATGCAACATGTACTATAGTTCTGGTATTGTAACTAGTCATCACTACTGTCTGATGTTGTTTCTGCTCTTTTCAACCATGTTTACAATTTCCCATTTTATGTAGGTTACTATAACCACAACATGCAGGTTCATTTACTTACTCTCTTCAGCTTAGCTGTCAGTTCAGAAACCAGCAACCTTTCTCTCACCCAGTTTTGTAACCGTTTAAAGAAACTTACAAAAACTGCAGCAAAAATATTTTCAGTTCAAAGAAGAAATTACAGTCTCAAGAGCTACCTGGGTATTTGGAGTCAGGCTGAAGTGCAACTCTGCCCACAGTTTCTCTTGACCCCTCTCTGCTGCAGGCATAGAGAAGATCCTGCCATGGCCCCTCATCTCTCCCACAGCTCTCCACACACAGTTGTGCTGTCTCGGCTTCCAGGCTTGGCAACTGCCTGCGAGCTAGGCCTGTTTCTGGGAACTTGAGTTAACAGTAGCTAAAAACTACTAAAATGCTGGAGAAGTTAATAAATGAAAATATTTGCCCCTCTTGTCCACTACCTTTATTATCTCCAGCTTTGACTGCAAGGTACCGGATTACCGTCTATCCCACTTTCCATTAATAACAGCCTCAGAGGCACTCTGTGCTCTGCTTTGTGGAGTTTACAAGATATTTCAGGTTAGCTGTGATCTATTTTGAATCACATACTCTCCTACTTTTGTACTGTTCCGTGAGAATTAAGTTGATGTAGAAGTAAACTATGCCAGGCACCTCCCCAGGGTCTCAGCAGTGTTACAGGTAACTCTGCGTTGGCTCCACTCCTTGAGTGAAGATACAAGGATCTATTTTACACAGCTCTTCATTTGCACAGTATTTAGTTTAGGCTTGCACAGGAAAATAATACAGCAGTGAGATCAATAGGTGTTATTTCTATCCATGCAGAGCATTTTCCTTTCACAAAAATTATTGTAATTGACTCTAATAATATTATTTCTAATATTCAGTACACAAACTTTAGCCCATTTTGGCAAACTGATAGTAAGTCTTTTGTGACAGCTGAGTGATGTTTTAACTGTGTCCAAGACAAGTACTAGAGTACTGAAGCTACAGAATGAGATACATAGAACTGTATGATAGGCTGATATGGTAAATTACCTAATGACAGTGGCAGTATTTCACACAACAAATCAAATATCCCACCTTCTGTGCCAGGTAATAAATTGTGTTAAGTAGACAAAGGCAAATTTATGTATTCATTATCTATCAAGAGACACTTGGCAGAATAACCTTTGGTCTGCAGTCTGAAAATAATTGTTCTCTGACAAGTGTCAGTCAGAAGTGCTAGTGAATCACTATAGATCTTGCTTTGCTGCAAGCACCATCAAGTCAAACTCTGTTCAGTTACTTGAGAAGCAAGGCCTAAATATAGTTGCTCTGATCCCAGTTGATATTCCTGCTGCTTTTATATTTCTAAAAGCATGTTAGCCCTTGAAACATTTACCAAGATTTCTCATTTTATCTTATCTTCCCAAGAAAGGCTTCACACTTCCTATGATCAGATACTTAGCCCACAGTTTTGGCTATTTGCCTTTTCACAGCTGCCTGGAAAGGGAGGCAGAAACTGGGAGAGCGGTTTAAAGAAGAAACAGAGAACTCTATGGGGCCAGCACTAATAGAATTCACATATTCAAGAAGCTCTCTTCAAAGTTTGGCATTGAATTATCTGTTAGAGCAAACTAATGAAAGTATCAAAACTTTTTTTTTTTTAAACCAATAAATTCACCACTGCAGCAAGATTCTGTGCTGAGAATAAAGAGATGGTCAGCATCAGGTAGATGGCCAATGCCAATACCAAAGTGCAAAGGCAGCAGTGGCTGAGCATGAACCCCCCGCAGTCGTGCTGCTCGTGGGCAGAGCCATCACTCACACCCCGGCGTTTCCTCTGCCAGAGAAGACACCAAGCCACAATGCAAGGGGCCGGGGCAGGACCTGCACAGTACCTTTGAGGGCAGGAGGGGTGAAGACGCTCTGCTTCCTCTGCTTGGGAGAGGCACTCTGGGACTGGGGAGGGACAGAAAACAGAGAGAGGCAGTAAGAGATGGGCAGAGGGAGAGCTTTCTGTTCATGGCAGCTCTGGGTCTTGCCCCACAGCTGCTTTCAGAGGGGCACATACCCATCTGAGGAGTTTCTAAGAAAAATATATTGCGTACAGCTGATGCCAGTTCCTGGACTTTCATGTACACAGAGAAAACTAAGATTAGATAGAAAAATATGTATTTAATGGACAATCTTTATGACTCCCAGGCAAGACAGACCCAATACTACTGAAAATTACCCTTCACCCTAAAAAAATATTGTTAAACATAAAATTTGGATAGTCTGTGCTTTTAACAGTCTGTGTAACTGATTCTCATAAGGCAAATAAATGTTTACATACATTAAAATAGTTGCAAGATTCACATTAATCAATATTCCAATTAAATACAGCATAATCAGTGATTATATGTATAGGTAAGGTAGAACTGAAATTATTAATCTATACATTTTAACATAAATAAGTGGAAATCTCTCTCCTCCACTTTTTCAATGTGTTCTATTGCACTTAAGAAAATCATTTCAGCAGCCAGTCATTTGGTCTTTAATTGAGACTGATTTGAGTGTTATATTTAGATACAGTTAAACTTTTTATGGCCCTGAAATTGCATCTATGCACAAAAGATAAAGTATTCCAAAGTAACGGTAGCAAAATTACACATAGAGTAATAGTATAATTATACCAATGTTTAGTTAGCAAAAACTGATGGGAATATATTCAGCGCTAGAGCAGAGCAGCTTTTGCAAAATGAAAGCAGCTAAATTGGTGTTCATATTATACCAATATGAAATATGTTGATATACAAAGGGTAATAAAGCTACATAAGGTCACACTGATAGCTAGCTTCGGAAGACATAAGCACCATAACACGCCTAACAGAAAGCTTAAGGAAAAGCTGTGTGTAGGCAAGCTTTTTTATTTTCTCATCTAATCAATTTCTATTTATATTTGTATTTATTTATATTTATTTATATTTATATTTGATCGTAACAGTGTTGTCTTTTCCCAAATATTTTCTGAAAATGCCTATTATATAGACTGTGAATTTTAATCAGATCTATTTCTTCATGGAACATTTGAGACAGCTCTTAACAGAACCACTTTCATAAAAGTATGGCCAATCCTATTACCTTACCTTATTAGAATGGATGGAATGATAACATTTATAAATAAAATATTATCATCTTTGGAAAGGGAAAGTTATTTATACACGCTATGGGATGGGATAGGTTGTTGATCCTCACCCCAGGAAATCTTTACAAGTCTGTATTTGAGTCCAAATTTGAACCAATCAATACCTCCTGCTGCTATTTAAAATGTTGCCTGCTGCTCTGGGCAATGGGTGAAGGAGATGAGAGAATTGCAGGAACTATGCAAGGGGAGATTAGAAAACAAGATTGGAGAAGCCCACTTTTAACTCGTGCAAACAACACTGCTGCACTACCTGCTGTAGGCTTGGCAAATGATGGAGAGAGTAGGGAGGAGTTTGTAATGCTTTTGTAGACCAGCAGCAGCCTGCAGATCCAAAGCAATGCTTGGATGAGTTTAGCTGGCAGGGGCATCTTGGGCCAGGGTTGTTATGCTTTGCCAGGGCATGGCAGCAAGGCAGAGGGGAGGCTTGCCTCTCCCAGTTCCAGGCCACAGGGAGAAGGAGAGCCAGCAGAACTGACACACAAAAAAAACAAGGCTGTGTTACTGAGGATGGCATGGCAATGTAAACAAAAATATTAACCAGGATGAATCAGGATGAGTTTCAAAGGGGTTTTAACAATAGACCTATTTTAACAATAAATATGTTTAAAAAAAATAAAATTCACTTACCTCTGCCTGTGAGATGCTTGTTCTCTTCTCATCTTTTTCTACAGAAAAAGATATGGAAAAAGAAAAGTTAGTACAGAAGTGTTTCTTGGTGCTAACACTTGCAACCCTACAGCACTGCTGTAAACAAGAAATTAACCTTCTGATTTACAGCTTTTCTTTCTCTTTTGTATGTCTCAGAAAACCAGAGGATCTAATTAGCATTTAGACATAAGAACTTCATCTGAAGCACTTAACTCCTATTTTTTGTCTGTGAATAACAGCAAGCAATGGAGTGCCTTCAGCAGCAGGTCCTTTGTCCAGGCTGGCAGCGGGGCTCTGCGCTTGCAAGTGGGGCTGTCAGGATACAGGATTGCTTTGCCCAGGGACTGCACTTTCTTCTACAGTCACAAAAGGCTTGGTTGCCAAATGGCATGCAGCAAACTCAGAAAGGGCTCTATGCACTCAAATCATAATAACCTCACTCAGGTTATTAATATAACAATACTGGTACTGAAGAGCACCTTGAAGTAATATGCAAAAATTAACAAAACATAGCTTAACAAAGAGTAATGTTTCACCTTAGAAATTTCATGATGCTACTGGACTGAAATTTTTCCTGGAACTTCTTACTTTTATTGCCTTAATTTTCTTTGGACTATATGCATGGTAGAATTGGCAAAACTAGAGATTTCTAATAAAATAAGCATCTCTGAGAATCTGTATGAACAACTAAGCAAAATTGTATGAAGCAGGGGAGGCTCAAGGTTCTTACTAACCACGGTATATAACCAGTCTTTGCATGAGCTAAATTCTTTTGTTACTGCTGTCCTGATACAGTTGATGGCCTGACAGTGTCTGTCTTCTGCAATGATTTCACAAATACTTGATGAATTACGCATAGGATCTTTGATGCACTGTAGTTTGGAGCTCTAAAATAAAATTCCATTAAAAACAGAGACATCAATCTCTCACTATACCAACCTCCCTTCTAAAATTTTCCACTTGAAGATATCAGTGTTTAATTTTCACTGAGGTGTGGCAAATCTGTAAATGTAGGTACGAGGGAAGAATAAGGTCTAGGCTGTATCACTTTATATGACTTCTCTAGATATTGGCTGCTTGTGGTGTGCTGTGTATGAGGGTACAAGCTAGTGCAGGCAGCTGTATCACATTTTCTGTTGGATTCTTTACCATTGTATCTGTGCATCTTGCAAACATTAATTGACTTACTGGATTTTTCAATGTATGTATTTCCCATTACCTCTGTCTGAAAGGCATTCAAATCACTCATGCTCAAGGTTAAAAAGTGTAGTTGAAAACAGTGCTGATTACTAAAGCATGATCCCACAGATACAGAATTAGACAGGACAATCAGGAGGCCAGTTTCCTGTCATTGACATTTGTGTGAACTTTGGTAAGGTCACTAAACTCCTCCTTGACTTCCTTACCTGTAAATAAGTATAGCAGTGCCTATTTCAGTATAGCAGTGTCTATTCAACTCCATAAAACACTTTGAGGTATGAAGTTAGGCTGGCCAAATGGGTGATTATTTATGTGCTTTCTTATTGGTTGTACAGCAAACAGACACAGACTTCAATGAGTCAACACTGGACTTTTTTTTTTTTTAGCTCAGGATCCCGGATTTACTTTGGAGGTTGAAATTTGAATAAATCCGGAACTTTCAGCAGAGAACAATGAAAAGTAAGTTACATCCTATTCCTTCCCAAAACTCTAAATTTGTCCAGATTAAAAATATATTTTGTAAACCCAAGCTGAGGCTTGCATAAGGAACAAAAACTGTAATCAGCAGTTTGAACCAGGTTTCAGGTTTTGATCCTGAGAATGTGCACAATTGTAACCCTCTGGGCTTGCACATTTAATGTTCTAAGTGATGTGACATTAAAACTACCAGAACTGGAGAATTTCCAGCCTTTCCTTCCACCCAGCAGCCCTTGTATGACAGGCAACTTTGGAAAAAAGAACCAGTCCTATATGGAGTTAGAGAGATCATGCAGATCCATGGGGTAAATAGTGCCAGTGAAAAGCACCAGACAACATGGACATTTAAGAGTGACTTACAAAATCACATGAAAACCCCCCATTTTTCAAATCAGTAAAGAGAAATCAGAATGAGCCTAAAGGAATGAAAGATACAAAGTTGAGGCAGCAACCATGAAGTGTTTCAAGTAAGATGAAGAGAAATGTAGAGCTGGCTGGAGATGCAGTTTGGTCAGTGGTACATTTTGACATGTATTTATTTTTGAGGACAGAAAGAGCACGACATACTTATTTTTGATAGGCATTATAATGGTCAAGACCCAAAGGAGAGTATAGATTTTTAAGGAGAGGTGACAAGGAATGGGAACAAGGGAAGTCTAGATCCCTGAATGACATAGACTGAGGCAGAGAGAAGAAAATAGACAAAAACTCTTTGTGTAGAGGAGGAGGAAAAGATGGAAGGCAAGGGGGACATGTAAGGAAGATATACTAGCTGTGTGTAACTGAGGTAGCAATGAGACACAGGAAGAGTGGGGTTGTAGCAGCAGTAAAAGGTGGAATTTAGTCATGACAGAGAGCAGAGCCGGAGTGCAGTGCAGGCTGGAGCTCAGTCAGGAGTTCTCTGCCTGGGGAAAGACTTAGAGCCATCTTGGTCTAACTGAAGGATTACATTAATAATTGTGTGAACATTCTTCCTTACACAAATAATGGTTTTCCAGTGTAACTTATAATGCTTTGAAGGCAGTCTAAATAAACTAATGAAAGCATGTCTCACTAAAAAAGTATTCTTGTGAGAGTCAATGGAAGTAGGAATTAATGTTCTCACTGGCATCAAGAGATAATGTAGACAACCTCTGTGATAACAGATTATATGAGAAAGGAATGTACACGGTAAGAAAGAACATCATCAGTTACCTACTGCAAATCAGACATTTCCACCCACAGAAACCAAACAAGCCATGCATCTCCCACCCTCAAATTCATCAACAGTTATAAGCTGAATTTCTTTACTGAACTCTTAGAGTATAAATTACTCTTAAGAAGGGTCAGGAAACAATCAGAAAATAAATCACAAATAGCAGACTATGATACCACTTGATTCCAGGGACAGGATGAAATCCCTCGTTTGTCAGCATCCTCTAGTTCCCACCGACTACTATGCAGGCAGGATTCTGTTCACAAAAATCATAGTTATACAGAATGAGAAATTCACTTATCATGTTTATAACTAGGTAATTATATCACAGAGAATGTGAATTCAAATGATCAGCTATTTCTCTTTTATATTAAACAAAACCCTAGTTCTCAGTAGATAACTTCTCCCTACAGGTTTGCTCTCTTTTGGGCCCAGAAGGGAAGAAGCTGTTTTAATGATGGTCCATTTTTCTCCCTCACAGAATGTAACATTGTTCACAGCTGTGTTGTATTCCAAATCTCAACATATGTTTTCTTCCAGTTAAATTTATTCTCATCTGCTCTAATTACCTAACAGGGATCTAATTACTCAAGTAATTTCTAGACAATTTTTGAGTTTTTGTTTCAAAGAGGTGTAATAGAAATCATAGGAAGAGCTGAGAATGGATTTGTACATACCCAAGTACTGGAAAGTAGAGGTATACAAAAACAAGATTGGAGCTTTGTTTAGAGGGGCTTTTACACCTGTGCTGAGATAAAAGCAGACAAGGACTTTCCCTTATGCTGGGTGAATAATGTCTGAGCCTAGTCTGATCCTTACCTCATGCAGACTGGAGTAACACCTGGCAAAATAAACAGGGTTTCAGGCTTTAGTCAGTGTCCTCAGGAAAAAAAAAAAAGTCAATGAAAGGTTCAGTCTAAAGGACATTTCCTTCAGTCCAGATATGTACACAGAATTTCCGAAACAAAGCCTTGTTTTTTTAAGGAGAGACACTTCTGAAAGCCCATCTACCTGCACAGACCCCCTTTCAGCATTAGACCTGTAAGCTTTAGCCTTTACCCAAGGCAAAAATCTCACTCACTTGCAGGGAAACCTGCAAGATTTGGCCTAACTATATTGCTGAGATAGGTGGAAGAAACACCAGGGAATTTGTATCCCAAACTCTCCTGTTAGCAGGCCTCTTTTGAATCTTTATTATCACATCCCTCTAGCCAAGCTGATATAATAAGCTGAGCTCCCCAAAGGTGTCATTATATGAAGTCAGAAAAGAACCAAGTGGAAGGAGGCTGGTTACAGATGGGATCAGAGTGCTGATCAGTGCTGATCACGCTTCCCATGAATCCCCACTGTTGTGCAAAGGGAACGTCCATGCTGGGGAAAGCTTTGTGGTCATTTTAGAATAAGATCAAAATTCATCTGCCTTTCTTCTCCCACTGGATAATGTTAATGCACTTGGAGCAGCTATACAGGGCGAGAGGTGACCTATCTTAAAAGACTTGGCCTCTGATATCACCCAGGGGCTCTGCAGTGGTCTCATCTCGCAAAGGCTTATCTCATCCAACTAAGTACCCTGCTTGCTTTCCCCTTTTCTGTAGGGTATCAGTCAGGCACTGGAGAAATAGAACAGATCAGAGAGGCCAGCTTTTACACAAAAGCAACTCAGTAAGAGGCTGGTATAATTGTTGGAGAAAGCTTCTTTTAGAGAGTTTGGAATTTTCCTTGGGAAAACGCAGTTGAGCAGTTTCAGATCAAAATCATAGGAGGCTGATAGATTTGGATTTGGTTAATTTTTTGTCATAGTATCTACATTTTCCTTATAACTAATAACCATAATAGTCTTTAATTACTCAGATAGTGGGAATAGCCCATGAGCTGCATGCCCATAACAGGTGTTAGTTAAAGAATGATTTAAACGAGAATGGCTTCAATCTGAAAGAAATGAGCCTGGCAAGAGACTTTCGGGGACACAATGTTTAGTCTGGAGTCACTTTATAATCCTGCCCTTGCCCCTGTATATACAGTGTCACTGGAGGCAGCAAAGTAGATGAACAGAAACATGGATCCAGCCTTTCACGTGCAAACTAGTGCAGGGCACCCCAGGCTAGTGACAAATCAGATACTGCTGCTGCTATGAAATAGTTTAGC